CGCAAACAAGTGCATTGTTGAATTGGGCATTTGTTTATATAAAGGCAAAAGGAAATGGCGGCTGAGATACGAAAGCTTTCTGCTGTTCTTTTTTTCGTAACCTGTGTCATCTTTGTGCCCCAGGGGAACGGTACAAATTTATCAGATCCAGCCTTAATTTGGAGAGAGTTGCAATCGTTTGCTAATGATGCTCTTGGAGTGGATGACCTTCAAGTAAGACTACATCTTTGCTCATTTCAGCTTTGATTGATCTTCAGCTACTTTAATATTCACTGATCAGTCTTCTGTCAGGTGTATTACACATCATGATTGCACATAATCAAAGTTAAGCTCAGTTCGATAAGTTGACAAAGTTAATTACTTGTGCAAATCTGAAACTGGCTGACTATACGTGGGAAGTTCAGTGACAATTAATTTTGCGACATACCAAAAGGGAAGCTCGAGATTGATTCCGTTTTGTGATTTAAGAGTTGAGCGTACAAAACAATTCGACACGGCACACCACCTTTATAGAGACTTAAACATCAGAGTATACGTCGCTTAGAAAGTGAATTCAGGTTCTTCAATCTCCTTCGCGAATATTTCAACAAACTTATTAATAATACGTTTGTCAAATGCAGGCGAACTGGATCCTGGAGTTGAATTCCTTAGAAGCATATCCAAGTTCAGAAAGAGAAAGAAAATTTCTTCGTAAGCTTTTTTACGTCCTCTATAAAAAGTGAAATCAGTCATTTTTACATCGTAGCCTTGAAGTCACGGCAAAGGAATGTAAGGGAAAAGTGTGCTCTACAAAGCTGAGTTTTTGTTTTACCTATTGCTTTCTTGAAGTCCTTGTTGTCGTCGTCATTGACGGCGACAGTGAAAAACGATGTCGGCGAATATAAATATTATGTATTTATATGAAATCTCAGATACACAACGGTCGACGTTAAAACGTACTGGGCGTTTATCTAGCTGGACCAATATCTGTCGGCAGAATTCCTGATAAACAAATTTAGGTGATCTTTAATTTTTTAAATGCCTGACTAAAACCATATCACTGTCGGATCTTTTAATGGTTTGCCTTCTGGAACTACAAACTTAAAGTTTAATACGTTTCCTTTTTTTAAAATATATTGAAGAATATAAGTGATTGATTATAACTCAGCCAGAAACTGGAATATGGATGAAATCAGGGAAAAAGTGTTGGAATTACAGCGTTCACGGTTCACTATGAGGCAAAACGTAATTGGTGGTCAGATCGGATTTGAAAATATTTTCAGTTTAATTCACAATAAATTTAGAACTTAACCGTGAATGAGTAAAAATAACTCGAAAGGATTGTGTATACTAAATTTCCTGTTTTTAGGTTGGCTCAAAAGGACACTGCTAGGCCTCATCATCCGTCTGCGATCATATATGGTCGTTTTAACTACGATATGGTAAATGAACGCGCCATGACACGCGCCATAACAATCAAGAGTAAACCAAAAGACAAACAGCTTGCTCATTTTCTGTAGAGTAAGGTAAAAACTTAGAGCTGATTTTGCTCGCGAAGGACAAAATTGCGACCTAAGACAATACGTTTTTAACTGATAAGTGAAATGCAATAATTTAGAGGGTGCTTCCGTAAATGTATTCTGTAGTTTTAGGGCCTCCAATCATCGTAGTCTGGGTTGAAATCCCGAAGGCGCTTCCGAGTTGTGTTATCAGCTTTCCTCTCCTAAAAGGCCGACATTTCTAACTCATCTAGGATACAGACATATGATTATAGCCTCCATGAGCGACGACCTCTCGTAAGCGACCACCTCTGATAAGCAATCACCTCTACAAAACAGTCAAAGCCTTATAGTTGGATCTTCTCGTAAACGATCACCTTGTGCAAGCGACCGCAACCATTTTTCAGAGCTAACGGTTTAACAATTTTCCATTGTTCTTGTCCTCCCATAAGCGTGATCTGAATCCTATGTTTACGGTTCTCTGTGCTATATATGCTACTTAGATTATACGAAGAACTTTTAATGACAACCTGGAACTACACACTGCTACACATATCGTAACTTAGAAATTAAATTGCATGCAATAAATTGTCTTCCATAACTGGTAGACGTGGCCGGACCTCATCTCGGAGGAGGGCCCAGTGGTTCTCGATCCTAGAAAGCGATCACCTCCGACAAGGGACCAAGTCTCCTCATTTTGGGTCGTTGCTTACGGGAGGTTCGACTTTATTTAATTTATTTAAGGCGGTTCTAATTGTTAATCCTGTGGTTACAAAAATCAAAGAAGTTGTGGTTTTTGCACAATTATGGTAGACTACTGAGATGATGCCTTTTCCGCCTGCTAACACATTCGTTATGTATTTCAATACTTTCTACAACGATACAATGGTTTCCTGATCATGACAATGTTGTTGATACCGAAATATAACATTTTTCCCCTCTAGTTTTGTCTCTGTTGTCTAGATATTTTCACTTTGTACTGAAACTATCAAATGTAAATTCTGGTTATTCTATTTTATTTTTTACAGACGTATTTTAATCAACTGCAGTATCAGACGAAAAAACTGGAAGGAAACACGGCAGACATTTCAGTGAACCTCAGAAACAAGTTCCAAACAAGATTTGCAGTCACAAAACGACTTAAAGATAAAGTTGAAGCTTTATTCGCCAAGCCTCCGAAACCCACAACAGCAAAAGAATGCTGTCAAATCGACAACTCCACCCTGAAATACGATGAACTTTTCCGCACCAAAGTCGACCTTAACAACATTTGTCTGAAGATTTCCGGTGCTGCAACCTTGAACCCTAGATATTTAGATGCAGAAGAAATCTTAAGAGAAATGAGAGACATTCGTATAAAAAATCCCTTTATTAAGTGGCAGTACTTTGCATCTGTGGAAGGAGTTCTTACGAGTTATCCAGTTCATGACGATCCAGAACCTTGTGACTTATACGACCCGCGATACAGATCATTTTACGTAGAAACAGCCACCCCTGAAGCTAAAGATGTTGTGTTGGTTATCGATTCCAGTGTGTCTATGACTAGCAAAAAGTTTACTATTGCTAAAGAGGCGGCGAAGACTGTGTTATCCTCATTGAATCCGAAAGATCAGGTGGGTCCTAGACACTGAGCGATTTCTCGCGCGCTAATTGGTCAAGAGCCACAAAATGGTCGTTAAAGGTGATGTCACACGGGACGATTCGCAACGACGATTTTTAGCGCAACACAGCGTTACAATGTTGGAATAACGTTGTAACTATTCGAAACAATGTCGTAACAATATTGCAACACTGTGTTGCGCTAAAAAAAGTCGTTGCGAATCGTCTCGTGTAACATCACCATATGAGTGTAGACCAGACGACGATCGAATAGTATCCCATGATGCATTTTTCCAGAAGCATCACGCAATATCGCAGTCATGGCAGTAGTATACTATGTTGCGAAATAAGCCTCGTTGGTGGATTCCCTTTGGATTCCCTCGCAAAAAGTGGATTTCCTTTATTTATATGTGTCTTCCTGCATACTAATTTGGATTTCCTGCATACTAATTCGGTATAGGTTTACTAATAAGCGTCACTCTACTACAATAGGAACAATAGGCTTGCCTAGACTTGCCCGGTAAGTAACTTGAGCCTGGTTTTCGGACCGTCTATTAAAAGGAAAATAAGAGCGATCACCTCGCAACGCGAGAAACGGCTTCCTATATATAAACAAAACACATACAGAAAGTAGAGTTGAAAAGTCTTTATTTCAATTTAGTTTATGTCTTCTTTTTTAGCTCTAAAACTCGGATATATATAAACAAAACATACACGAAGGGGAGCTAAAAACGCGTTTTTTCAAGTTTGTCTGACTATTATAATTACAGAACTGTTTTCTCCGTTTTATCTCGAGGAAATGAAATACTATTGAAGTCTCAACGTTTTACGCACCGTGAGTCAAATACAAATTAGCTCTACAGGAAAAACCTCAAGGGAGCATATTGAAGTATTATTATAAAACAAATAATTTAACAAGGATCAATTAATTAAACACGCGACTAATAATTGCTAGCAATAAAATCAGACACGAGATACCGTTTAAAACAAAAAGAGTCAAATACACAGTGATTTGAAAGAAATCTATTAAAATAGTCAAAGAAAGCAAGCCATCCTTTTTTTTTACATTGCGCACAATGTTTTACTTACCCCTCTCCCTTTTCAATTTTATTTCCCTCCTCAATTTTTTTTATTCTCTTCTCCACAATTTTATTATTTTCCCTCCTCAATGTTTTTATTCCCTCCTTCACAATTTTTATTATTTTCCCTCCTCAATGTTTCTTATTCCCCTCCTCCTCCTCCACCTCCACCTCCTCATTTCTATTGTTTTTCCTCCACCACCACCTCCATCACCACATTTCTATTGTTTTCTCCACACCACCACCTCCACCGCCACATTTCTATTGTTTTCCCTCTACCTCCACCACCACCACCACATTTCTATTGTTTTCCCTCCACCACCACGTCCACCACCACTACCGCCACATTTCTATAGTTTTCCCTCGACCACCACCACTACCACCATATTTCTATTGTATTCTCCTCCTCCTCGTCCTCCTCCACCTCCTCCTCATTTCTATTGTTTTTCCTCAAAAGTCCAAAGAGGCAAAAATCAGGCCTAAAAGGCCTAAAAGACCAAGCTTGGAGGGACCACTATCAGATCACTAACAACCTGGGCTCAAATACACGATCTGCCAGACTGAAATGTTTTACTAGCACTCGCAGTCAACAGTCAGTTTATTCGAAAATTCGCCATTCTAATGAAGTTCAATCAATTGACAGCTGTCAAACTACAGCATCCGCTGACCAACATCACCTGACCGTATCCCGGGCTCAGGTATCGGCCCACTGAGTTCGAGTTTTTTTGAAGTTATCCACTGACAAGTTACTACTTTTTAAATGATTGCAGGCTCAAGTTCAATTTTTTTAACGCATAGGAAATAGGGAGTTGTGTTTATGAGCCGCACTATTAAACTTTTAATTTCAAACTGACCTCGGACGCGAGAAATCAGCCAGCTTTTACAGACAGGGAAGTCGCTTTTGACCTTTCTCACTAAGGTCACGCGTTGGTCACGCTCTACGTTATGTTCTGATTGGTCAAAAGTTGACAGGTGAGTTCATGCGCAAAATTTATGCAGCATCTTGAAACTTGTTTACTGATAGCTGAAACTGACAGGGTTTTGTGTAACGTTGTGAAGCTTTTAACTGTCTTTTTCTACTGGATGCACAAAATGAAATACAGCTGCTAGCAAGATTCTTAAGTTATTCGTGGCTGGTTTGTTTATTGGTTTTTTGGTTTAGAAATGCGCCGCTAGTCAAAGTCATCGGAAATCCCATTTCGGATAGATCGCTTTTACTTTGACTTCCCCTTGCTTAATACGTATTGTAAAGAGAGTTCAAAAATGTCTCAAGCGATTCTGATGGCCTTCAGGAACTGCATCTTGACTGGTAAGCCTGAGTTATTTTTGTATTTGATCTGTCTTTTTTTTTTCTGGTCTCGTAAAGTCGAGCGTAGTTCTGCGCCTAGTTTATGCACAAGAGAATGATCTGACCTACAATAACATCAGGTTCGACATAACCTTACAGATTTTTAAAAAGTTTTAACATTTTCTGACCACAAATACAAAGTAAACGTTCCGAAGAATACAATGTATTTAGTTATGCTTTTGGCTGTAAAAAGAAAACTCTGAGCGATATTCTTGCCTCGCGGTTTATCTTGAAGTAAACACCGGGAAACCTATGGCGTACATTTGCGGACAAAAATAATTGAAAATAAAAGACAATTTGAAGTTCAAAAATTAGACTATCCATGTCGAAATCTCGTCATATGAATTTGAAATCGCAATGAACGCAGTCGAAATAGCATCATTCGAACTTGAAGTTACATTGAACAAGTTGAAACTATAAAGGGAAAACTCGACATCGCGGATGTTGAAGTTCAAATCACCATTCCAACTAAAATGCAAATTACATGATTTGAACTTCAATTCACCTTGTCCACTCTAATAAGCCACTTAATCGTCAACAATGCAACCATAATCTTCCACAAAATTCCAAGTGAAACCTTTAATTTGAACTTAAAGTCACGTCACATATTCGAATTCGAAAAACCAAAATTTCAATTCGAAAGGAAGCGGAAGTAAAAATACACAGGAACCGAGTAACTACTAGGTACGAGTCTACAGATGGGAGGCTTGGAACCCGAGCTTTCCTCATCTCTGATGTGATCGTCGTCATGGCTTCGCGATGGCTACCGAACAAACGAAGAGTTTTTCGTTGGACTGGTTAGATTGTTAGAGGCATCAGAAACTAATCTAAACTCAGCATCATATGATAATTCTGAATTTTTATTTCGTCAACTTGATTCTCACGAGAGACCTTTGTCAACTCTGCTAACAGTGTTGACAAGCCTACACGACTCCTGCAGTTCGCGGATGAATAAATTCCAATAAAGCCTTTACTAGGATGTCCTTGAGGGATTTTCCCTTACGATATGAGATGATGGGGGGCTCCTTAAAGATTTCTCTCAGTTGCGGTTGATTTTCTATAAGGTGCCATTTCCCCATGAGTGTGTCCTTTAGGTTAGGCAACGCCGGATGTATTGTGTTATAAAGGGCAGTGTTTTCTTAGGTGCGGTTTTGTTTTTCTGCGCTAGCGACATTTCTCTATGAGAGAATTTAATCTCTGAAAGGCGTTTTTCTACAATTCTAGCTGGGTAATCTCTATTCTGCAGGCGTGTTTTGAAATTACCGATGTTTTCCTCAAAAGTAAATTGAGAGGAATTTTTTCTCAGAAGCCTTAATGCTTCTCCTTTTATAAAGTTTAAGTTTGCCACTACAGCCCTCACAATCTGTTGGATTGTCCTGGAGTCACCCTTATCATTCACATTGTCCGTCATATTGACCAGAGAGTTCGAGTGAAGAGAAATCTTTTCGCGCCAAAATGCCGTTATGCAAACATCCCGTATGTACAGTGTAGCGAAACTCTTATTATTTCCGGTTCCTGTGTATTTTTACTTCCGCTTCCTTTCGAATTGAAATTTTGGTTTTTCGAATTCGAATATGTGACGTGACTTTAAGTTCAAATTAAAGGTTTCACTTGGAATTTTGTGGAAGATTATGGTTGCATTGTTGACGATTAAGTGGCTTATTAGAGTGGAGCAGGTGAATTGAAGTTCAAATCATGTAATTTACATTTTAGTTGGAATGGTGATTTGAACTTCAACATCCGCGATGTCGAGTTTTCCCTTTATAGTTTCAACTTGTTCAATGTAACTTCAAGTTCGAATGATGCTATTTCGACTGCGTTCATTGCGATTTCAAATTCATATGACGAGATTTCGACATGGATAGTCTAATTTTTGAACTTCAAATTGTCTTTTATTTTCAATTATTTTTGTCCGCAAATGTACGCCATAGAAACCGGCTTAAATCTGCAAAGTTTTGAAGTTTATGAGCTTATGCTCACAATTTTCAGAGACACTTACTCGAAAAAACTTATCGTCGTGAATGAAAATTGTTGTCTCTGCACATGTTTCACCGAGTTATACTTATTTTACTGATTGTTAGTAGTCTCTTTCTCAATTTAATCGCTGCGTAGGTTGTTTTCAGTCGAACATATAACAAAACATCGCACTCAAGAGTACTCAAAATGTCGCGCATAATATCACATAACAAAACCATAAATAAAGGAAAATAAAACCTAAACATGGTAAGTTCGAATTCTCTATCATGTTGAAGCTTAACTCTATTAATGTTCATTCAAACATTAGTAAGGTACTGTATCTGAGCTATAAGACATGAAAATAAAATTCATTATTTTTATCATTATTATTCAAACGGCTCCGACAGCTCGGACTGCACTGAATTTGGTGCTTGATGACAAAAGTGAGAGCCCGTCCAGCTGGCCGTACAGGTGATTTTGGGAATTTTTGGATCGTTTTCACTAAAAGCCCATAATAATTACCCTATATATCACATAGGAGCAGATTTTTTCCGACTAAACAGTCCCAGTATTATGGAAAATTCTCTTCATGAAAACGTTCTATAATGTGGTCAGTTCTATACTTTTTTGTTCAAAGGAGGCGCGTGCTTCGAACGGCCGTCGATAAAACCCGGAACATGGAACATCCCGGAACATTCCGGAACATTCCGGAACGTTCCGGAACATCCCGGAACATGAAAAAATTAAAATATTTTTTTGTGAAAAAATGATTAATTAACTAAATAATAATAATAATAATAATAAATAATAAAAGGAACAATAGATAGAAAACAATTTTTGCAAAAATTTATAATAACAAAATAAATAACATAACATAACATAAAAACGAAAAATAAAGAAACAAACCAAGAAAGAAAGAAAAAGAAACTGGTATCATCTCCGAGTATGAGAAAACAATATTTTGTTGCAATGAATTTTTTGCAGTGGGCGAGTAAGGTTCCATTCAAATGATAGTCCCCAGTCATCCTACTCACCCTGGTCACCCTAATGAGTGAAGGCTTGCTTCTTAATTCAAAATATATTAAAATGGGTCGCGAGGAGAGGGTTTTCAGGCTTTCGTCACACAGCCACCTCTTGTAAAGGTTTGCAATGTGGTTTAACGGTTATCCATTTACGGCTTTGCGACCGAAAGAAGAGCTTAGGGGGCTTGTCGCTTTGGACTTGGATAATTAAATTAAAGATTCAGATTCACCGTGAATAGTTGCAGTGGCAGTGGTAGCGCAGCGGTAGTTTCTAACTGTTATCAGTTAGCCTGAATTTTAGCCGTCTCCCCGCAAACTCCTCCTGCGACTAGAGGAGACGTCTGAAATATCATGCTGACTGTAAACAGTATAGAAACTACTACGAATGTGAGTATTGTCCACTAAAATCCAAAGACAAGAGCCCCTATACTCTTCTTAAGTTCACAGAGCCGCCTAGTCTGTAAGTAATTCATGTTCAAAGAAAGCAAAGCACCTCAAGTAAGCAAATGTCGGTTATAAATAAGGAGACTATATGTTGGCTTGAAATGAGCTACTTACCGACTTGGCTTGACATGAAATACTGCACCAACATTTCAGACCATTGCAGAACCGTAAATGGATAACCGCCAAATAATTAACTCGCGGCAAACAATTACAAGAGGTAACTGTGTGAGGAAAGCTTAAAAAACCCCCCTCCTCGCGACCCATTTTAATATATTTTGAATTTAGAAGCAAACCTTCACTCGTTACTGTCATTTGCATGAACTCTCACTCGCCCAACAAATTTTAATTTGTTGCGACAAAATATTGTTTTCTCATACACACAGAGGATATCAGTTTCTTTTTCTTGATTAATTGATTATTTTTCGTTTTTCTTTTGTTATTTTACGTTATTATTAATTTTTACAAAAATTATTTTATTATTATTATCTTATTTTATTTTTTTCATGAAAATTATTTTTATTTTTTCATGTTCCGGGATGTTCCGGGATGTTCCGGGATGTTCCGGAATGTTCCGGCATGTTCCGGAATGTTCCGTGTTCCGGGTTTTATCGACGGCCGCTTCGATCGTCCTGGATATTCAAGGGAATGAGCGCAATTTGTCTCGCAAAATTGTGAAAAAGTGCAGAATTATAGGCTTAAATAGGGCAAGGAAAAACAAATTCTGTTCGAGGTCTGTATGATGAAAAACAGGCACACAGGCATAGCACTGTTTTCCTCAAACCATATGTATAAAAACACTGATAAAAGGTATCTTTAAATACTGGTTTACACCAGATTTGTCGCCAAGACTTACTTGTAAAGTAAACCTGTAGAACACAAATCTTTTTCGAAACACAAAAAGACCAGCCCGATTTTTTTTATTATTTCAGAAATGCAACGTGTAAATTGGCTGCAACCGAGGACTCTTGTGTGTTGCATAAAATTATGTGTCAAAGTATTCTTGTCTAAGGAATCACTTTCCCTTAAAAGTCTCATGAATGTGCCCTAAAGTTAACTGATTAATGTTTATTGTTGTATTTAAATTATTAATTTATTAACGTGAGCTTCGCTTTTAGCCCTGGCTAAATCTATATATTACATATTAATAAAGGGAATCCACTTTTTGCGAGGGAATCCAAAGGGAATCCACCGACGAGGCTTATCTCACAACATCGTATACTAGTCATGGCAGATTAAAAAAAAAAAATAAGGTCGTTTTCTCGTCTGCTTTTTTCTCATTTGTATCCAATAAAAGTAAGAAAATTATATTATTTTGTTATTTGACATGATTTCTCCGATTTGCAATGGCTTAAGAGTGAAGTTTCCAAACAGAAACATTTATTTTCATTGTTTCACTTAGTCCTCGCATCACAAAGTGTTCAGTGACACACTATTTGCGATTTTTTGGATTATTTGTTGAAGTATTCCAAATGTGGACCTCACGCCAGCAAAATAAAGTCCTGAATATTGCACACGCTAAGAAGTACCCAGAAGTACCCACATTTTGAAGACTTTTTTGTCGACCAAAGATACTAAAATGTCATATCTTTTATCACATTTCAACGCCATGTGTTATAATATATCTGTAAGGCCTGCTAAAGGCTACAATCTGTTGGGCGCTTTCGAGAGCGCTTTATGCCGAAGCAGTCACTTTGTGTTTTCAAAGCGATTATCAGTTTTAACAGGAATTTGACTATATTTATTTAATTAGAGCAAGGGGCGATGAATATAAATGATGTGTTTCGGTGTGATAGGAACCGAAAGAAAGGTGCCACGCAGCGTGCGAGCGGCACAACGTTAAACAAGCCTGCTCAGAATGTGAAATAGAAACATCAGAAACCTTCATTATTCAAAAGAACAGATCAGTAAATTTCCTTGAAGATTGCTTGAGTCAACAACGGGTAGTTTGGGCTTCAGAGAATTGTTTGTCGCATCGGTATGTTAAATTTTATGTGTACTGCAGTTGTAAACTGAGCTCCTTTGAGCCGATGCTGTAATAAATCCTCCTTTGGTAATTAGCTTCACAACGTAGCTGCTGTTTTGTTGGAGCCACTTTTTAGATCAGTCATGGTTTCAGTTCTCCTAGTAAACCTTATCAGACGCCGAGTCTTATACTTTGTGTTTGGTTGCGACCAAGCGCACAAGTAGTTCTCGACAGATCAGTGAAACACATGTAAACTAAAACCCTTCAAAGTGACGCTGAAATTCTCCTTTAAAGCACAGTGAATATTCTCGAAAGCAGAAGCTACTGAACCGAAACATGTTTGGAAACTATCCACATGGAGCACTGCGACGTTCATTTCGCGCGTACTGAAGATTACTGATCATAATATGTCACGTAGGCAGTGATAACATAACATGGAACGTGGTGCATCATGGGATACTATTCGATCGTCGTCTGAGTGCAGACCATGGAAATGACTTGGTGGTGCTCCTATTTTGTAGTTTTTTCTTTTTAGCGTTTGCGATTTTCCGAGAAAGTTCAATGAAAATGGACGTAAAAAATTGTAAATGGTACTGTAAAAAACAAATATAGTCGACTCCCGATAACTCGAACCTTCAAGGGAAATCGGAAAAAGTTCGAGTTATCAGGAGTTTGATGCAAATAACCGAAAGTCAGGAAATAAGCAAATGGATGGGAAGGAAAGGCAATTAAGCAACAAAGTATACAAAAATGGACACTGAATTTGAACTGGAGTGACAAAAAAAGTAAGGAAAAAAAATTTACTCGGTCGTAAATTTAATCTTTCGACTTCACGCGCCTATAACATGGTTCTAGTTATCGAGGGTAAAATCGTATAGAAATCAGCTGATGGGAAACCAACATTGGTTCGAGTTAGCGGGAGGGTCGAGTTATAGAGGGTAAAATTATAGTAAATGTAAGAAGGAAATCCAGGGAAATCGACTTTGGTTCGAGTTAGCGCAAGGTTCGAGTTAGCGAGGGTTCGAGTTATCAGAAGTAAACCGTATACAATAATTTCCCACGGTCTAATTAACAAATAGATTCCATGTTGCCGTGCGTCATGCTCAGTAATAGATCATAGATGACATAAAAATGTGGTAAAAACAAAGTAAGTGGCACGCGAGCCACAGACAAAGTGTGTCACCGATGTTTTCACTTTTGACGTCTTCCGTGATCTACTACTGAACAGACCCACGGCAACATGGAATCTATTTGTTAAATAGACCACGGGAAAATGTTGCATATTTGTTTTTACGTCCATTTTCATTGAACTTTCTCGGAAAATCGTCCTCGCTAGAAAGAAAAAAACTACAAAATAGGAGCACCACCACGTCATTTCCATGGTCTGCACTCTCAACGACCATGTTGTGCCTCTTGGACAATGACCAGAAAAGGAAAAAGACCGATATACATACCTGCCTCGTACCGCTTGACTGGTCTAGGATTTGTGTTACTTAAGGCATTTTTTGTCGCAAACGCTACTTTTCGTCTCTTCTTCTTTTTCCGTTATCTTACTTGTAAAAAGTTTCTTCGAAACGTTTTTCAACGTCTTAACTTGCTCAAAACAGAATAATGGCGAAAATATTTTGCATATCAGCCAGTCTCTCGTAAAGATGACACACGATCAGCTGTCGTGAAGTTTTCTGGCAGTTTAGGCATTTTCAAGTTGTCAAGTACTCTTTTTGCCTTCGTTTTTCCAATTTTTTTTTGAACTACTTGCAAAATAAGACATCACGTCTTTACCACATTCCTAGCCTGTTGCAGGCCCCGAGATATACATTGAGAAAGAATTGAGAAAGCTCAAACACGAAAATAAAACAGGAGGAAACTGGGGAGAGCGGGGGCGGCGGAGCCTGTAATCATTTCTTTAAACGACCCGTTCCGGTATACCAGCTCCTGGTATACCCTCTGATCGGTCAGATTTGACAGATTATATCAACACTCTCAAAGCGGGTCGTTCCTGTCACTCAGAGAGAATTGGCGAGCGGCGTCCACGCGCGTGAAATAGAGGATTCCACGATAACTTCTGTGTTGAACGAATGTTTACTATATTTCCAGCACATGGGAGCGCTGAGGAAGGAACCGAAGACCTGCCTTGTGAACTTGGTGCGTGGAAAAGATGTTTTTGTAATCCTGCCGACCGACTTCGGTCTCGCCTGATAACAAAGTGGCAATAACAGAACGGTCGCAAGAAGTTATCTGCGTGCTCCAGTCCAGATTCACATTATCTTTAGATCTCTTAAGAAGAACTAGCTGGAGTTTAAAAATAATTGCTTAAGAGCAATCTTGACTGACTCACAACGTAGTTCTCCATGTTTAAAGTAGCTTCAGTTTAAGTTGCAATCCATTCTTCGAAATTTGGATCTGTGAATCACCACCCTTGAGAATTTCACTTCCTGCGAAAACACTAACAAGCTGGGCCCAGCGTGACAAAATTCATTGTAGGAGACCATCACATCACATTCACAGACAAAAGAAAATCGCTTTCAGTTATTCAGATCAAGGAGGGATTTTGGAGAAAATCAAACAACGTAAAACCCTTAAACTTTACGTTTCAAAATAGGTCAAAGAAAATGCTATTGCATCAGAAGGCAAATCATCAGAAATGCCAACCAGAAACAATAACCTCAGAAAATCAATACGCGTGTCGCGACCTCTCAGCATGAAACAGTCGGAAACAACCACACAGTTTGCTCAGTCAAAATCTGCAAAATGCAGACCCCTCCAGAGCATAATCTACCTGCAAGGGAAAATATTCACTGGAACAAGCAGCATTTTGGCACAAGGTAAAAGTCGTGTGTTGCCTACCGACCCGCTTTTTACACTCCAGATTGCTCTGACTCGCATAAGGGATAAGCGCCGCGCGAAAAAATCTCGAGAGAAATTTGAGAAATTAAGATTCCAACTCATTGACATTTCAACAGTTTGACAGCCGAAATCTAATGATCTCAAACGTACTGAAAGTGGGCGGAAGAAGGTCGTAAAATAAATGATTGCAGGCTCTCTCTCCCTTCCTTTCTCGTTTTTCCCGCCCCGCCAACTTTTCGCGTGCCTTTTTCTTTCGCGTCTTCCCCACTATCTGAGAGCCTGGAACAGGCTACCACATTCCACACACGTATAAGAAATGTAAAATGTAAAAATGATAAAAATGTTCTAGAAGTTTTAAAATCTTCGAAATACACTTGGCTCTCCGAGCTTCGTCCGTCAATAAAATTTTCATTTAAGATGCACTAAAATAGTCTGCGTGTTCGCCAGTGTCATGTAAGCCATCTACTCTACACACTGGGCAATCCCCTCTTTTCCATTTTCGTGATTTAAACGGATCAGACCTCTGGAGTAACTTTTTAATCGCAACACCAGCTCAGTTTTTCTACGACTTTGATTTTGAAACCTCGTCGCTTTATTTCTTTCTCGTATCTCCTCTGTAGCTGTGAATTGGGTGTAGCTGGTACAAAAATACCGCCTTGTTTCCGCCTTTCTTGTACCAGTTACTCCTCTTCCTCGCTTTTTCTTGGTCTCGTTCCTCTCTCTTCCATTCTCTGGGTCGATGTAAAAGTCTTTCTCCTTCTTGATCAACTTTCTCTCTCGTTTCATATGCCTTAAGGGCCGAGTTGACAACCTCAGCACTGACTCAGGAGATCCTAAGAGTTCTACTTAATTTTAGCAAACTGTTGCCATGGGAGAGGAGGGTGGAGAATGTTAACGAGATGGTTTTGAGAATGCAGTACTCGGGATACAGCGAGAAATTCAGGTATAAGGTTGTCAACTCGGCCCTTAAGACGTGATGTCTTATTTTGCAAGTAGTTCAAGTTATTGGAACACATTCCTAGTCTCGGCATTTACAATTTCTCAAAAATCTTCCATTTTTCCTCTCTGTAAATAGCTCATTGTAAACTTTTTTCGAGGCTTTCACTCGCTCAATCCGAAATAATCTTACAAACATTTTCAAAACCGCGCACCATGTGAATTGAACAAAAAAAAAAAGTTTTCCGTGACGTCATCCATGTATCTGTAGTCTAATAGAACATGGGTAACGACCAGCGTGCGTAACATTCACATCACTGCATAAACTCTTTTTAAACTGAGCCACTGGCCATGGATAATGCAATCCTAGAGCGCTGATTGGTTTAGCCATCATGGTATATGAGCCATTGTTATATTCCTAGAGTTTCACTCAACTAAACTAAACTTTCTTGGTCACATGGCCTCGACTAAAATCAAATGTGCCCCGATCGTGATACATTAAGCAATGTACCCCGCTCGGGATACATTACAACACGTGATCAAAGCATGTTGGATAGTTACGTGACCGAAGGCGGGTAAAACACTGCCGGGTCCTGCCACTGGCTGCCAGTTTTCTTTTTCGTGACTGAACGCAACAACATCATGAAGCCTCACGCTAAAAAGCAACGATTATCAAACATATCAGTGACTCCCTCGCCCGCGGCTCGTGTGCCACTTCTTTGTTTTTACCACATTTTGACGTCGACGACGTCAACTGTGATCTATTACTGAACAAACGCCCGGCAACATAGAATCTGTTTGTTAAACAGACCATGACAAATTGTTGGTTATGCATGGGCACAAGAGAGTAGCTCGCTCTGGCCGGGTTATAGGTTCCAGCTCCTGCTCAGTTACATTGGTTTGAAAAACGAGCGAGCAACTCCTTTATGCCCACGCAACGGCGTTATCGCAGACCAGTTCATTTTTAGATCGATTTTCTAGCGAATTTTGAATATCAAATAAGTCTTACATAACAGTCATCAATCATCCGGTGCTTCCATGATACGTTTATACATTGATCATAAAAATGGTATGTTTTTGGTTACTTTTCTTCAAGGTTAATGTAGTTTCCTTCAACACAGAAGCCTCAACAGAAGGTGGTTCTGATGTCACGTCTTGTTTCAGTGAGAGGTTAGCTCTAGCAGTTCCTGAGAATAAAAAAAGCCTAAAGAAATACATTGAGGGACCCAAGTTTATTGCACATCGTAAGTCTATTGTAATAGTTATTAATTCTTATTTTCACTATCATGTTTTACCCCGCCAAGCTCCCTAGCCTGCTAGCAGTTATTTCCGTTTCCTCGAAGTAAGAGGTGGGAGGGGAGGGGAGGGGCGGGGAAGGGAAGAAAACCGTTTCCTTTCCTTTCCCGACCCTGTCCCCGGCATTTACTTTATTGCTTCTTTATTCCTCGCGCGACTTTCGTCCTTGTAACGAAAGACCTAAAGGAAAGGGAAACGACTGCTACGCAGGTTACAAGCTCTTGTAAGCCGCCATTTAACCCCTACATCTCTAGTGGCCACTTTTGGAACCTTGATTCTCTTTTAGGTCTCTTAAAAGAGGCTGTCTCAGTAAAAACCGCCCACTAAATTTCGCGTGAAATGTAACTTTGCCTGAAACTCTGGCGAGTGAAAGGCTTTATCGAGACTATAACTAAAATTGGTTTGCTTTGATTCGCAATAATTTTCTGGCCGCGCTGAGGGGCGACGAGTATTTTGTCCCGCCACAGCCATTTTGCACGTCATGAAAACTGAAAATTTGGCATTTTTTTGCAGCGCTGTAAAATGTTTGATTTGCACCATCTACCAATGAATTTTATACCTATTTATAGGTAAACATCTCTAGTTTTTCCTGAAAGTAATAGTTATCCGCTAAATTTAGCTGTAAAGACGAAATCAAGCAAAATATGACCCCAACTAATTGCCTTGGAGCGAAAGGCCAAAAATGACCCTGTTTCAAAAGCTTATTTCTGACGTTTGGGACATAGTTGAAAGCTCTAGACTAAATAGATGCAAAGATAGGCCATCTGTTATTAATAATATACAAAACCCCATGTGCGATTTCAGTATTTTAAAAGTTATGACCGTTTGTATCAACGCGTATGCGAGCTAATACGATAAAAGTACGGCTTACCTAATTCATTACTGAAACTGACTCACAAATGAAGCCATATTCCAATCCCTGAGATGCCGGACTCCATAAAATTCCAGTAAATGTGCTTTAGAAACTGCTGTTATGCGACCATTTTTGAATCCCATGCTAACAATCCGAAGCTCAAAACAGGTGAAACTGTGTCACGTTTCGAGCTAAATAGCTCGGTAAAACAACCGTTCAGAGGTGAAAGTTTGCTCGAGAATCAGAAAATCTACTAGGCAGGTCTCATTTTGGATCAGAAAATTGAGATTTCAGAGCTACAACCTCAAATAAACCTTCTATTCAACCGGCTCTGCAAGGTCAAATGCAGGTTGACACGTACACCGGAAATGTTGAAACGCGGAGATACGGAAAACCGGAAATGCGGAAATCCGGATCATCCGCAAATCGACAAATCTGAAATCAATCAGAAGCCGTAGGCAATTCCAACGATTAGAGACAGCTGCATTCGTTTAGGGCACCTTTTAGACGTTGAGATACGTAAAAGATAAAACCTTCCAAACCGGCGTAGCTGTTTGATTTTCACTGAACTGAAACGTAGTTCCACCATCGATTGCGTTTGGAAAATAGGCTCCATAAGAAACAGTAAATATCATTAACCGGTTACAAACATTCTATGTGCGCTAACATATCACACCTGTCACTAATACTTTACAGAAGTTGGCCATATATCGAAACTGAATGTGTCGAGATCTAGGGAACCCGGCAAGCTCGGTTGTCTGGGCTTATTAGTATAGAGGCCCTTGAAAATCGCTTGTTAAGAGCGGATAAATAGTCCCAGCCGGTGAGTATATTTAAGGTTTATAAGAAACCGATCATTACTTAGAGGGGGGAGGAGAGGGCTTGAGTGAATGGGAGAAAGCCTTCTTCATATTTTACTGATCCTCTTCCTGAATATTCTCCCGTCCCTTTGAATATTTTTACAACAGGAACTACATTTTTCTCCTCCGTCTCCTCCCAAACTTTACCTAACTCATTACTGGCACTGACTAAAAAATTGATCAATATTCCAGTCAAAATTCTAGTAAACGCGCTTTTGAAACTGCTGGTATGCGGCCATATTTGAATCCCATGCTGAAACTACTGTAAAATTCCGAAAATAAGCCCCTCCATGTATAAGTCCCCCCAAACTTGTAACACAAAAAACCCTCCGTGAAATCGCCCCTCCGAATATAAGCCCGCTGGGAGCTTGTACCTGGAAAATTGCCCTCAAACACAAGGTAAAACAAAACAAGAACGGTTAATTTCCTTCCAACTTTAAGCTAGCCCAATCGATTTTGAAAAGCAAACTTCCCTTCCCACATAAGCCCCTCTGAATATAAACCCGTCCAAAAATAAGCCCCTCAAAAAGGGCCTTTGAAAAATATAAGACCCGGAGCTTATTTTCGGAATTTTACGGTATGTCACGTTTCGAGATAAATAGCTGGGTAAGAAAGAAAATAAAAGGTGAGACTTGTCCGAGAATCAAAACATCAGCTAAGCAGATTTCGTTTTGGGTCAGAAAACCCAAATTTATAGGATTATTTTTTCGACCATTTAACGGTGTTTTGTAGCTAATCCTAAAACAAAGTGTCTCAGCGCCTTTCTTGGCCATATTGCATGGCATTTTTGGTTTCAAAAAAATGCCAAATTTTCAGTTTTCAAGACGTGCAAAATGGTTGTGGAGGGACAAAATACTCGGCACCCCCCAGCGCGACCAGAAAATTATTGTGAATCAAAGCAAACCTATTTTAGTTATAGTCTCGATTAAGCCTTTCACTTGCCAGAGTTTCAGGCAAAATTATTTTTCACGCGAAATTGAGTGGGAGGTTTTTTCTGAAACAGCTTCTTAAAAGGCCAGGGGCCTGTTTCTTCAAATGCTCGGAAACTTTTTTAAGCCCGAGGGTTTATTTTAAAATAAAAACCTGTTGAATAGTAGCACAGTTCCTAGCTCACAAACCTGTCAATTTTGCTTCGTTAACTGATAGCTTTATTGTATCATTTGCAAATTATTGAAACTTGAATGCAATCACGGCAAACATAAACCAGCTCTCCGGGCTCGAAACGTTCCCGGGCATTTCGAGAAACGGGGCCCAAGCTCCAGTAACGTACACCTTTTTCGCGTCCGTAGGGTGTCCGCTTACGACAGTTTCCACGGTAGTTCCTTGCAACGTTTAAACAGTCATATGACCAGCTGTGGCATCAAGGTCCAACTGTTGCAGTCCTACTAGGAATGATCATCAGCATTCCTGCACCGGAAAGCGACATGGCTGGACATGAACGTAGTCTGCTGTACATACGAAAGAAATGTAGTCGTGCCTTTGGGTGAAATGGAGACTGTCCATACCTTCTCTAGTTTTCCCATAACTTGGAAGGAAAGCGACGAAGCGAACGAAATAAGCTCCAGCGAAAAGCCCGACGGGGGGAAGAGGGGGCACGGGGTGAGATTGAGCCTCGCCTCATCTTATACCGTGATACTCTCCTCCAGTTCTCATTTTTATCAAATAGAATTACGAGAAATGTCAATTGTTAGACTAATATTTTGCTAACTGTCTGAAGAGTTAAGTCTGTTGTTTAGGGCATTTTTTCATTTTTTTGCACACACCAAATCAGTGAAATCGCTCACCGAAACATCTTTTATCTTTTTGAAACCCCTCTCTAGAGTGGTTTAGGACCCTGCTTAAATGTGTTCGAGATGGCAACGGAACTCGCACTAGAATGTGATTGAACAATTTTCATGTCCTGTCCACGCGAATTCGGGTAACATAATATGCGGTTTCTGGATTTGTGTGGACTGGGTCTTAGATTGATTGCGATTTGTTTATATATAGATTTATCCAGGGCTTTAAGCGCAGCTCTCGTTAATATGCTTGTAGTATAAAGGTAGTTTACTCAAACGAAATATTAAAATTAAGTAATGCTAAACGGCAATGGCAAGGAGAACGGCAAAAAAAAAAATAATGATCTAAAGGTACCGTAAAACGGGCTTCAAAAAACGGTGCAACTTGTTTTGCAATATTGCTGCAAAACGAGTTGAATAGCGATGTTGCGCGTTTTGCCACCCACGACAAAAAAACCTTGCAACCTTATTCGAACGTCGGCCGTAAAACACGCAACATCACAAGATTCAACTCGTTTTGCAGCAGTGTTGCAAACAAGTTAGCTCAAGTTGCACTTTTTTTTGTTACCCGTTTTACCCTGTTGGCTTCCCACTAGAGCTTCAAGTATAATGTAAGTGTCCTTGGAACCTACTTTGAGTTTGAAGGGGTAAAATGTACCCACTTCAACTTTACTTGGTGACCATGGAAACTTTCCTAGTTTAAAGAAGCTGAAGTTAGCACTAAGGTATGGTCTTCACCACCCTTGAGAACACACTTGACCAATAAGTAATGGAAGCCATCACGTGCACGATGTGAACGACGTGCAGCGTATCCAAGATTCTAATGAAGGGAGAGATTACTTGGCTTCACGCTAGAAGTTAAGTTAGTTTCAAGTAAGTACTTGATTTAATTGGTAGCCTTTACAGTGGGCCGTTATGTAAGACGTATGAGCTTCTAAGTTTTACTTAACCAAAGATACGTGTGTGAAGGCCTAAGTAAAATCTCAAGTTCTTTTACCTTGCTGATAATATACACGAAAAAATTACTCAATTCTGATTGGCTGAGAAAGGAGTGCAGCTCTTCTGTAACACGAGTGCAAAATATGTAACACGAGTGCAAACTTGTAACACAAGTGCAAATTACAAATGCTTTCAGATTGGCTGAAAACACAAAAGAAACCAACAAGAACCAATCAGATTAGAGCTGTTTTAACAACAAAAATTCAAGAAAATGGCCATGGTGTTCAGCAGACGACGACGGGATTTAAATTTTGTAAGCAAAACAACAATAGAAAAGTTAAAAAAATATTCCAAAAACCCGAACACTGTAAAAAGTACGTCTTTCTGGCTAAATGTATTGAAAATGCGTTGCTAAGAGAAATGAGCCAGAGAAACTAAAAAACAAGCTACTTATAACAGACTACGCTAAAGTAAAAAAATAAAGAACTAAAACGGTTGCAACCACACGCAAACCATGACAGCTACACTCTTCAGGCATTTAAATGAACAAGGATACAATTCCATGATAACAACAGGGATTTCAAGTCACGTACGTTATTTGTTGCTCTCTTTGAGTCTTTTATGGATCGAAGACCTCTATTAAAACATCCATGCGATGGCCTGATTTTTTTTTCTACCTCAGCAGCAAACGAAACCGAAAATTTAAACATCTGGTCCAAACTAAACCAATGGGCGAAAATACCACAACTCACATAATGGAAGTATCCGTAGCTGTTAGTAGCCTTAAAGAAAGTGAAAAGAGAGAAAAAAGTTTACCAATCATTGTGCAAGAAAAACAACAGTCAGGAAGCTGAAGAAAGCAAAGATTGTAAGTTCAGAACATATCGTCAATGTCACAGGCCACAAAGGTATAAATTTCCTTAACGATTACGATGAAGCGAAGGAGAGCTACGTTGACTCTTGCAGTAGGCCAAATGAAATGATGAAAACTCCAGCGCTGAGAAAAAGCAAATATTATATTAATTCTGGCAGTTTCCGACATCACAACAACTGTGGCTCCACTCACCCATCGATAGCAGCGTCGAAAGAAAACAAATTGCTTCCTTCATTTTCGGGCTTTAAATCGTAAAAATTCTACATGAATTCAGCTATGATGGGGTCTCAGAAACAGACTGATGAACAGTCGTTAAAAAGTCTTAGCAAGTGTCTTTCATCTTTCGCTGCTCGAAGAGTTCTCCTGATTTTAAAACGGCAGTATACTTCTCGGAAACGCGTCTTGTAAACATCGAGCTCTTATAATCGAGGATGAATTTAAAAACACTTACTTTTTCTGATTATTGTAAACCAAGTTATCTTTAACAGGCTGGTGACCATATAAAAAATCCTTGCACATTTCCAAGTTCTTAGATGAATGATTTTGAAAGCGTTGGTCTTGAAAAAGTTTGAATTTGACAAAGGTAGTAGTCTGTTTCAGCCAATCAGTTGAATGAACTAAAAACGGGCGCGCTGTCAAAATTTGTTGTAGTTATGTTTTTCGTGTATATTATTAATAAGTAATCACATGATTTTTCTCGTGCAATTTGGAATAAATAAGCACTTGTAAATTTTTCAAAGACCTCAAAGTGCACTCGCCCTAGGGGCTCGTGCACTTTTGTTGGTCTTTGAAAAATTACTCGTGGCCATTTATTCTAAATTGCACTCGTAATCATGTGATTACCTACACATCCCATTAAAGTCGGAAAGTTGAAGCGATTCAAGAAAAGATTCAAGTGACTTGAAAACATCGCTAAAACCCACTTTACGTACATGCGGTTTCTTTTGAGCTTTGTTTAAGGCAAAGCATGTCAATCAATCTTAATTATATTGCGTGTGGAAAAAGCTTCATGTTAACCTGAAGTAAAAAAGAATCGGCTAAGTGTGTGAAGCTTTCTTTTACTTGAAGTATTCAAAATTCACTTTTCTTGAAATATTTCTTAGCTTATTTACGCTCCAGTGCAAAGACTACCAATGCATATGTACTTGAAAATCTTAAGTCGCCCTGTAGAAAACATGGCTTCACACTAGTTGACAAAGTATATTGGGTCTATATTACTTGAAGTATAAGATGTCTGCAATCACCTTTCGCAGTAAAATCATTTATGCATATCAGGAGCGGCTCCTGTGCATATTACAAACGTGACTGCTCGCGACAAGCTAATATATAGATTTAGCCAGGGCTAAAAGCGAAGCTCCCGTTCATAAATTCATAATTTAAATCAAACAATAAACTTGTAATCCACAAATCAGTTAACTTTAGGGCACATTCATGTAACTTTGAGGCCTAGGCTAAGGGATTTTAGAGAAAAATAATTTGACAGTCCAAGAGTGAAACAAATTTTACATCTAGTTAATAGTCTTATTTGTACACCCAAAAATAGCATTCATGTTCGATCACAGAAGTTTTCAAAAGTCTTTCAGTTTTTTTATGGTTCTCGTATTGCGCACGCTCGCTCCGACGCCAAGTGTGGATATGTGATGACTTGTCTTGGTGGTTAATTCAAACAACCTTCCGGGGACTGCACCCACTCCCCTACCTTGTACACCCAGGGTTTAAGGGCACTTAAAACAAGTATTGCAAATCTTCTTTGAAAAGTTGCAATGATGTGAAGTATATATGAAATAATTCATTTTTTTTTTTTAAAGTTGCAATATTATAAAGAAGGAGTTGGCCCTTTGCTGACCTTTATATTACCTTTATATAGCAGCAAGTGTATTGAAAAGGGAGGGTAAAAATTAAGTGCCCGCTTTAAACAGCCGAAACCCCATCGGACTGAAAAACAGTACTTTAACTAATACTTCTTTTTTTCTTCTTTTTGCAAGTCAGGACAAATAAAATTAGTTTGGGGGGCATTAATGCGTAATCTACCAGTTGGGTTTTAATCATTACCATCTTGCGAGTGACCAATCTTGTTTCCTCCATGCTTAGTACATTCCTCTCTTCATTTTTGAGGAAAAACTGGAAAAATCAAAATTTCGTCAAGAGCCCCCTTCCCCCACCCCAAGATCTGAAAATGGCAAGTGATACCATGGTTTAGCGCTGTGATAGGTTGGACAGGAAATATTTAGAAATAGCTATTACATTTAAGAAACCATATAATACTTCAATTAGAACTTTTTTTGTTTTTCAACTACAGGCCCTTGAAATTAAACAAAAAGAAATGATTAAGACCTACAGCAAAATCTTACAAAGGTGGCTACTTCTTTGATAAAAGAAATCTCCCCTCCCCTTGAACCACATTCTTGACCACCCGCTATGTTTTCTCTCTCCTTTTTGACCCCTTCTTTATTCAGTGTAAGGGTTCGTAATGTCAGCTTATGTTAATTGTCCACTTAAAAGAAGTGGTTTTTACCCTGTGTATATATGAAGACATAATTTGGCTCATCGAAAATACAGCTTTGACTTCTTTTTACACTAAATGAGACTCGCGTGTACTTACGTCCTCAGCACAAAGTGTGAATCGGGAGTTGTCATTCGTAATTCGTGCTCACTTTTGGCGCGGTCAGGTCACACGAAAGAATTTGCAATCCTGGTAAATCAAATTTTTCCCACGTTAACTGGCGGCTTGATCACGGCAATAATACCTGTGTACGTGGGTAAACGTTTCACTAATAGTTCTGATTTCAAAGAGTGACAAAAAGGAAGAACATGCATTTCCAGGTTTACTTCGATCGATCGATTCTTTATCCTGATGGAGTCCGATAGCTCCATTTAGTTTTTGGAGGCCATATACAGCCATTTCGAGAAAGGTTGTCGGAAAAACTGTGCACGCGACAATCCCGAAAGGTAATATGGGTTATGATCAATACACTGTTCCTTGACACTGTAGCTGTCGAACACCGAGGAACAAAATAATACACACAGAAGTTATTTTTTGAAAAATTTATTTGAAAAGTCAAATGTTTCTGTACTAAAATGAAATTCGCGTATTCCAGCGTAATGTGCCCGTTTAAACTCAACTATAATTTTTAATCGATGCGATGAAAACTTCACAACAAAGCTGTCTCGAATTTGAGCGTGTTTCCTAAAATATTTGCTTGAATTTAGCATCAGCTTGACCAAAAAGTCAATAACACAATGCTAATTGACAAATTTACATTTCTACAAAAAAACAAAAAATGTACCTTAAATCTTCGCTCGCTCGATTTTCCTTCAGCCGATTCTAGCCGCGAGGAAAACAGTGATTAATTCATCCAGGGCAAATTTGTCGCTTGATCTTTTGTCTTTTTTCCTTCAAAACGACAGCTTAGTATTTTCTTCAACTTCGACTTTTCATCTGTGCATTTCATAGATGTATTTTACCGCCAGGAGAGGAGATTTGTTGAATTTGCCTAAAATTTTACCGCGCTAGCTCAGTTTCTTGGCGTGCACCAACGGGAAAATGGTAGTGGCTAACTGACCAATCAGAGCGCGCGATTTACTTTTGTTATGTTATAATGTGGTGTAGACCATCCTTGGGGACGAACTTTGGCTTTTGAACTACAAACGTTTCTGTAGTCACCACTGAGTAAAGTTGAAGCAGGAATATTTTACCCCTTCACACTCAAAGAAGGTTCCAAGTACACTTAGAAAATACTTGAGAGCCCTCATGTGAAGCCAATAATTGACAGCTTTTACGCCAAGTAATATACTTTGTCAACAAGTGTGAAGCCATGTTTCCTACAGAGCGACTTAAGATTACCAAGTGCACTTGAAGTGCTTACTTTAAACTAACTTCAGGCTTCCACTGTGAAGCACTGTTGTTGGCTTCATACTATTAGCGAAGTTGGTTTCAAGTAAGCACTTGAAAATCTTCAGTCGCTCTGTAGAGGTCCTCTGTTGAAAACACGGCTTCACACTTGTTGACAAAGTATAGTACTTGAAGTAAAAGCTGTCTATGGCAATTCTTTACACTAGAGCCTAAATAAGCTGAGAAATGTTTCGAGACAAGTAAATTTTAAATACTTCAATTAAAATTAAGCTTCAAACATAACCGTTTCTTTTTTTCTTCAGGTTAACTTAAAGCTATTTTCCCACGCAGCATATATAATTAACATTGATTGACATGCTTCTGCCTTTCAAAGCTTAAGAAACCGCAAGTTCGCTAAATCGGTTTTAAGGATGGTTTTCAGGTCACTTGAGCTTTTCTTGAATCGTTTCAACTTTCCGAATTCAATAAGATGCAAAGTAAAATAACTTGAGATTTTACTTAGGCCCTCACACAGGTATCTTTGGTTAAGTAAAACATAGCAGCTCTTAAGAGAGTGTCTCTGTAAGAGCGGTCCGGTCGATTTTCGTCGAGACACAGATTTAGCTCATTTCTTGTGTGTTCTAAGACATTCATGTACCTATACTAAAACCACAATCCGTTTGATCGGATCTCTTTATCTTTCAGAGTTTTACGGAAATTAAATTTCTCTTGAGCGAAGGCCTTTCGTGACACTTTTCAAGACTTTAATTTGAGATAACTTTGGAGGACAATTTACAAAAAAGTACGGGACTCAGCAAAAATCAAATACCACAGCCATGTATAATAACTCTATCTTATCCATCGAGGCGACTTTCGTGAACATCACGTTTCAATCAAGCAAACAGGAAGACTTGAACGACACCTTATCGGTTCGGTTAAGTAACACACGCGAAAACCGATCAAATTCAAGGTACATTTTTGAAAAAGTGAGGCGTTCTTAACTGATCCAACTAATATAGCTAGGAGATAGGTGCCATAGAAAAGGTAACTACAGAAAAAAACTTTGTGGCCCGACCTTTACTAAAACTTTATAACTCCGTGAACTTACCTAATTTTCGGCAATCTCCAACTTTTGCCGCCATTTTGAGGGACTTGTCAACATGAAGCGTAGCAGATATAAATCGAGCAGGTAGATCTAAAACAGTCAGAAATACATACGAAAGCATTCAAATGAACTTCACTTTCAATTCAAGGGGCAAAATTTGAAACTGTTCGATAAACCTACCATTCCTACATCCCCATGCGACCATTTCTTCCAACAATTCAAACACTACAACTAGTGACCACTAGTGTTCGAATTTCCCTTGTCGATTCCACGTAAGAAATAACCTGTGCCACCCAAGCTTCAACTCCAATGTGAAGTACGAATCAAACAACATAACTGCGTCATCTTCGAGGCCATATCACGCTGGTATTTTGATTTTCTGATCGACCAGAACGGTGATCAGGAGGTGATCGCCATGTTTACCTCATAAACGTGACCGCTGACCAGCCGCTGAATGAAAACAGTACGCCGCAGGGTGGTGTGGGTGGCGGACTTATCGTCATAAGATATTCGAATACAAAAAAAAAAGCTTTTAGGACTCTCAGTCTAAAGACTGAAGGCATGCTTCGTGGTACAGACAACTTTTATTTTATTCTCATAACTTTTTCCTTTAAATTAGAACTGGTATTAATTAATAGGGTTATTTAAATATTTTTAACCGAGGTACCCATATGACCTTTTGCTTGTCCTCAGTGGTATAAAATAAGGTGTCTTTTCTTCCAGAACCTTTTATTTATGCGTTATTGCACGGAATGAACACTATACTTAGAAGGTTTGTTCTAAATCATTTTGCTGTTCCTAAGAATGTATGCAAAATCATAGATTTATAAAAGCTGACTGTAAAATATGATTTTCCTTAACAGTAACCAATGTCATTTAGGTAAGGTGTTAATAAAACTAGCAATGTACAATTTTTAGCGTTTTCCACTTATAAGCCTGACATACAATTGTCAAGTGAACTATGTTAGTTTCAGCTCATTTCTTGATTCGATGTGACCTTTTATCAGTAAACCCCATTCTTTTCATTTGCAATTTTCCTGTACTTTTTTTTCATATGACAACGACAAAGAGTTTTATATGTAAACCGATTTTTTGGTGTACCACTCTTATTACATTGTATATTCAAATACATGCAAAAGGCCGGCTAAATAAGCTCCTCCCCCTGCTCCTAATTTCTTGGGTTGCCTTCGCCCCATGCCTCTGCACGACTCCCTGTCGGCTAAAAGGAAATTTGAAAGACTGCTATGCAAGACACATTTTGTTTTTCTTCATTTTCATTTACCCTCTACCA